GTTTGTGCTTGGATGTGTATGTGTGTGTGCTTGGATGTGTATGTGTGTGTGTGCATGGATGTGTATGTGTGTGTATGTGTGTGTGTGCATAGATGTGTGTGTGTGTGTGTAACATGTCAATGAAAGCATAAAAACTTTTTTTTAAGTTTCACAAGAATTCACAAAGATCCGCTGGATAAAAGCCTCTTCTTGTCGAGCTGAGGTCTGCAGCTTTTACATTTTCATTAAAATAATATTAATAATAAATAAAATAAAATAAAAAAACCTGAGCACGACGCGCACGCTTCCGCAGCGGAACGCGCCAGGTCTGGAAACCAGATAAACCAGTACAGCTCGGCGCGGGTTGAGTTTGGTAGTGCACAGGAAGAAGTAAAGCTCTTTACCTGCAGAAGATCCGGATGGTTTCTACTTGATTAGTTTCAAGTCCGGGTTTTTCTTTAGATTGGTGGTGAAACGTGAGGAGAGGATCCGAACCAGAGCAGGAAGAGGTCCGAACCGACTCTGACCAGCCCAGCCCCCGGTCTGCTGCAGACTCTGAATTTCGTGCCAAACCAGGACCAATCAAAACCTCCCAGGTCACAGATGTGACGTTCATGAACGATCCGGATCTTTTGAACGGTTCTTTAAAATGAACGATATGAACAGAGTCTCAGACCATTTCCTTTTTATTTATTTTTTAATCCTTGTGGTGTCCTCTTCAGTGGTGGGATGTAACTAACTACAAGTACTTTCTTGCTGTACTTAAGTACATTTTTCATGTATCTGTACTTTACTTAAGTAGATTTCATCATGGGTACATTTTTCATGTATCTGTACTTTACTTAAGTAGATTTCATCATGGGTACTTTTGACTTTTACTCCACAACATTTTACATTAAGTATCTGTACTTTCTACTCTACTACATTTTACATTAAGTATCTGTACTTTCTACTCCACTACATTTCTGGAATGCGTTGAATTACAAAGTACATTTATGTCACGTCGATTTTTATTTTATTTTATTTGTGGTTTATTTGATTATTTTATTAAAAAATAAATAGTGGTGAGAGGAGGAGTTGCTGTAATTGGTCCATTGAACAAAGCAGGAAAGTACCATTAGACCCTCCTTCATAGAAAAGCAGAGCAGCAGCATGTCCATAATGGTTTCCACCTCAGAGGAAATGTGCCATTCATGGTCTTATTTAACTGGTTCAAAAATGACTTGTTTATATTTGATGGAGGAGGCTGGTGGTGAGTTTACATCTTCTGCAGCTGTTGTCACAATGTGTGATGATGCACAGACTCACAAAGTGTGAACAGTGTCACAGAGTAAACACACAACTATGCATTATCTGCAGCTTTGTTCACTAAAATGGCACCATTGATGTATTAAAATATACACACAGTAGGCACACTTCATGATATTGTAGACCATTAGGGAATACATTGAGCAATTACTTTTACTTTTAATACTTTAGGTATTTTTAAAAGCAAGTACTTAATTTTACTCAAAATGTTAATGTGGCATTTTTACTTTTACTAGAGTACATTCTTGTCTGTTTATCTGTACTTTTACTTAAGTACAGTGTTTGAGTACTTTCTCCACCACTGGTCCTCTTCAGATGACTCACCCACACATACACATCCTTTGCTTCTCCCCTGAGATAAAGTGACGGATCAACAGTTAAAATGTGGAGAACATGAGCTCTGGAAGGAGGAGGTGGAGGGTTGAACTTCAGCAGTCATGTAAGTCAGTCTAAACCAGTCCTCATATATTTGGCTGTACAAGATGAGAGTTCAAAACTGAACAGTTCTTTAAAACAGATCCATAAGATCTGCTTCCTTTCAAAGAGACGTAAAACTCACACGATCAGTGGTTTCAGAAATGAGTCAAACTGCACTGCTTCCGGGGAGGAGTTACAGCTCTACAACAAGGTGAGTAATCTGACATCAAAGGAAACAAGGAAATGGTGGTGCTGAGTTTTGGCAGCCATCTTGTTTTTACATGTTGAAGCCACACACTGACACCACCTGCTGCTGTCATCAGTCACTCAGAAAACACTTGTTTTACTTACAGAAAGAACAGCTGTCAAACTGTGAGTTTTAAATGCTTACATGAAACTATGACAAACACAAATTAACTGTACATAAAAACCATCAAAACATGATGAAAATCCCATCAAAACATGATGAAAATCC